TGAAACATGTTCTAGTAAGTGTCTACAAAGTTTGTTCAAATAAAAGCCCTGGGGTCAAAACTGGCCCCGCCCCAGGGGTGTCATTCTTTTTAACTATATGTGTATAGTAAAAACTTAAAAACATCTTCTTTTAAAAAGCCCAATGAGCTAGAGCTTAGATGTTTAGCATGAAACATCTACTTATGGGTGTCTACCAAGTTTATTCAAATAAAAGCCCTGGTGTCAAAATTGGCTCGGTCCCAGGGGTGTCATTGATTTTCCCTATATGCATATAGTAAAAACTTAAAAAATCTTCTTTTAAAGAACTCAAAGAGCTAGAGCTAAGATATTTAGCATCAAACATGTTCTAATTGGTGTCTATCAAGTTTGTTCAAATAAAAGCCCTTGGGTCAAAATTGGCCCTGCCCCGGGGGTCATTGATTTTCCTTATATGTGTATAGCAAAAACTTAAAATCTTCTTTGAAAAAACCCAAATAGCTAGAGTTTAGGTATTAAGCATGAAACATCTTCTAGCAAGTGTCCACAAAGTTTGTTCAAATAAAAGCCCTGGGGTCAAAACTGGCCCCGCCCCAGGGGTGTCATTGTTTTTAACTATATGTGTATAGTAAAAACTTAAAAAAAATCTTCTTTTAAAAAGCCCAATGAGCTAGAGCTTAGATGTTTAGCATGAAACATCTTCTTATGGGTGTGTGGGTGTGGGGTGGGGGGGGGGGGGCTATATACAGGTGAGCGACCTCAGGGCCATCATGGCCCTCTTGTTTTTCAAAATATTAATAAATTTACCTTGAAATAGTAATATAGAACAAGAACGTGTTTGTTAAACACAAATTCCCCCGGCATAGATTCTTGTCAGTAGCAATATTTCAAAACATGTTTACCCATTCACTCAGTTACAGACAGAAAAATTGCCAAAAAAATGTAAACACAGGTTATATGCTTGACAAAGTCATGGCATTTTGTAATTGTGAAAAATATAAGTTGCCAAGTCATTGCTCTGACTTGTGAAGTTGAAAAATATTCAACTTCATGCAAGTTATCTTCCTACCAAGTATGAAATACATCTGTCATTAAATAAAGGCTGTATGGGCAAAAGTGTAAAAATCTTTTCTGAGCACTGGTGACCTTGACCAAACTGACCCCTAACTCTATCCAAAAGAAGAATACCATGTAAGTTATCTTCCTACCAAATATGAAATACATCTGTCAATAAATAAAGGCTGTATGGGCAAAAGTGTAAAAATCTATTTTTAGCACTGGTGACCTTGACCCAACCGACCCCTTACTCCATCCAAAGGAAGAATACCATGCAAGTTATCTTCCTACCAAATATGAAATACATCTGTCAATAAATAAAGCTGTATGGGCAAAAGTGTAAAAATCTATTTTTGCACAAGTGACCTTGACCCACTGATCCCTACCCCAATCAAAAGGATGAATACCATGCAAGTTATCTTCCTACCTAATATAAAATATATCTTGTCACTAAATAAAGGCTGTATGAGCAATTGTGTAAAAGTCTATTTTTAGCACTGGTGACCTTGACCCAACTGACCACTAACTCAATCAAAGTTTAGGTTTCTATCAATTATAAATAACATCTCTCTATAGAATAAGGTCAATACACTTGTAAAAATCTATTTTTAACATTGGTGACCTTGACATTGGTAACATTGACCTTGACCCAAATGACCCCTTACTACACCTAAAGATTAGGAGGACCTCCCTTGGCATGTTTGTATTAAACTAAGACATCAACTAAAAAATAAGGCTGTATGAGCAAAAATGTTTATATTTATTTTTTAAACCAGTGACCTTGACCCTAGAGACCGCTTACTCCACAAAAATTAGAGAACCATCAAAGGTATCCACCTACTAAATATGAAAGATATAAAGAAATTAAGCAATTTGGAGAAATTTAAGATAAATCCAACTTAATGCCGAAATAGGTTAACCAGACAAGGCCCTATTTTCAAAGTGAAAAAGGGAAATAACTGGGATATATGGATGACACAGTTATATTATAACTTGGCAATATCATGTACTTTGTATTAATAAGTAAATGTGGAAATTATAAAGCCATTAGTATAGATAGAACTTAAGATATTTCCAACTTGCCGTTTTAGGTTAACCATTATTCATTTTCTAAGTGCTGAAAAGGGCAATAACTTGGTAAATATGAAAGCCAGAGTTATGTAACTTGCCCAGATCATGTACTTTGTATTGATTAGTAAGTGTGTAAACTTAGAAGCCATTGGTACAGGTAGAACTTAAGAAAAATCCAACTTGCCGTTCTAGGTTAACCTCGTACGGACAGACGGACGGACGGACGGTTCAATTACTATATGCCCGGGGGCATAAAAATGATCATGAATGATAAAATACAAGTAATTAAAGCCCCCTCAAAAAAGGCCATATTTAAACTTGGGTCTGTCACTATATCAAGTCAACAACAACAACAACAACAAAAATTAATATATTTGTATGAATACATGTACAACAACCAAACAATGTTAGCAAAGTACATAGATCTAATTATACAGTATTATGGATAGTTTCCAAGTCTAGCTCTTATCAGTGCAGGTCATGTTATACTTATTGCACCCTGGTATAATCAATATTTCATCTTGTGAAATATTTTGAAATACAATGTACTTAACATTATATCCATCCCATTGAATTTTGATAAATGATAAAAAAATCAATATTCTAAAATCAAATAGACCTGTAAATTATTGAGTTTACACATTTCATCAATATTATTTGCAAACATAGAAGAAAAAGCCTTGTTTTGTATTCAAAATTTCAGTTTCTATTATTTTTTATTTTATTAAGACTAGTTTTTAACAAAATAGTTTATGTAAACTAGGTTTTTTGTTTGTTACATTTTTTCATAATCTGGTAAATTGTATGAAATAAGTCTGAGCCTTAACTTCAAGTAGGTTTCAGTAGTTAACACAATATATGTGTATTTAGAAGAGTAAATTAGTAAAAAAGATAATATTTAAATTACAGAATGCTTTTTTGTTGTACTAATTAATGGGTATATTCATGTAGGTATTAATATATTTTGATAAAAAATGTATCATAACATCAGATCATGCAAATTATGTCCAATATATTTTTGATATGGCTCAACTCCTAAGTCTAGCAAAAATAGAACAGAACCTTTTCAAATAAAGGTTCACAAATGAGCCACATCAGGACAAAACCAACGTTTGCGACCAGCATGGATCCAGACCAGCCTGCGCATATGCGCAGTCTGATCAGGATCCATGCTGTTCGCTATCAGTTTCTCTACTTGTAATAGAGTTGGTAAGCGAACAGCATGGATCCTGATCCTTTTATCTTGTTTTGTAGATGGAGCTAGCTGGTGATAGATGGAGGTAGCTGGTGATATTGAGACATGATTATCAATGATAAAGCTGATTACATTGTTATACTGTTCATTATACCCCCACCACAAAATGTGGGGGGGCTATAATGGATTCGCTTTGTCGCGTCGGTCCGTCCGTCGGTCGGTCGGTCCGTCTCCATTTTCGTGTCCGCTCTATAACTCCTATACCAATTGAAGGATTTTCTTCAAACTTGGCTCAAATGTTCACCTCAACAAGGGGATGTGCAGAACCCATATTGCCCATGTGTCAGTTCAAGGTCAAGGTCACAATTGAAGGTCAAATATCAAATACTATCAAATGTTACACAGTATGTCGTGTCCGCTCTGTAAGTCCTACACTACTTGAAAGATTTTCTTCAAACTTGGCTCAAATGTTCACCTCAACCAGGGGATGTGCAGAACCCATGTCGCCCATGTGTCAGCTCAAGGTCAAGGTCACAATTGAAGGTCAAATATCAAACAATTAAATATTACACAGTATGTCGTGTCCGCTCTGTAAGTCCTACACTACTTGAAAGATTTTCTTCAAACTTGGCTCAAATGTTCACCTCAACAAGGGGATGTGCAGAACCCATGTTGCCCATGTGCCAGCTCAAGGTCAAGGTCACAATTGAAGGTCAAATATCAAACAATCAAATATTACACAGTATGTTGTGTCCGCTCTGTAAGTCCTACACTAATTGAAAGATTTTCTTCAAACTTGGCTCAAATATTCACCTCAACAAGGGGATGTGCAGAACCCATGTTGCCCATGTGTCAGCTCAAGGTCAAGGTCACAATTGAAGGTCAAATATCAAACAATCTAATATTACACAGTATGTCATGTCCGCTCTGTAAGTCCTACACTAATGGAAGAATTTTCTTCAATCTTTACTCAAATTTTCACCTCAACAAGGTTATGTGCAGAATCCATGTCACCTTTGTGCCGGCTAAAGGTCAAGGTCACACTTGAAAGTCAAAAATTGACTTAGAAAATGTTCTTAAATTTTAACATGTACTTGAATAATTCTGAAACTAGCGCAGGCATTTGCTTGAAACTTAAAAGATATATGAGGTGTGGCAAATAAGATATGCAGGTCAAGTTTCATTACTCTGTATTGCATTTTGACAAAGTTATGCCCCTTTTTAAGTCTTCAAATTTACATACAACCAATACTAGACAATATATTGTGTCTACTCTATAAACTTTACTCAAATGTTCAACCAAACTGGGTGATGTGCAAAACCCATCTTACTCTTGTGCCAGATTAAGGTCAAGGCCACACTTAAAGGTCAAAAATTGACTTATAAATAAAATGTTTAATACATTGGGAAAATGAAAGGTTATTTGTACCTGTTTCGAACATGATTTACCTGAACAATTAGTCTTTTTTTCACCAGAGATAATTTCTTTTTATGTATTTGTGCCACATAAGTTATTCCCTTAACCACCTTTTCAAGTGGTCTTCTGTCAAGGACATTGGTGGGGGTATGAATCGCATTCAGCGATAATTCTAGTTTGTTCAAGTTTTATTCAATATATTTTTGCCATTAGTATTAATTATTACTTCAATGGAAAACTTGTGTCACTGCTTTGAAATTCAGAACCCTTAACATGGTATTTCAGGGTATCCACAGGGAGGCTACCCCCCAGGACCACCTCCACAAGGAGGGTATCAGATGGGGCCAGGCCCATACCCAGCAGGTAATCCTGGAGGACCGTACCCAAATCAAGGACAACCACAGACTATAATTGTTACACAGCCGACAATGATGGTGACCCAATTACGAGAGACCCCTACACGAATTCAATGCCCACACTGCCAGGCTGAGGTGGTGACAGCAACAAATTTTGAAACTGGGACGTTTGCATGGCTTATTTGCATGTTATTATGTATATTTGGGTAGGTATTCAATATTTTTCACTGATTCTTAAATTTTCAATAAAAAAGATGGTAATTAATAATATCAATTTTACAAAATGACCCGAGAACTAATGAAAAGCATTTAGCAGTCATTTAATTGTCTTTTTTGTTGGATAATATATCATCTTTTATTTATATGTCATTGGACCAAAGGATCTGAGAGTTCTTGGCTCTTCTGAATCCAGATAGGTCACAATTTTATTTGTTTACTCGTATGACACACTTAAGTACTGATTTAAATGTTAGACTGGTTGTTTAAAGTGCAAAACAAACTGGGTATGTTCATTATGTTGGTTAAAGGCAAAAATTATTACATTTTTCAATTGTTTTATTGCCAAATTTCTTATTGGCACTAATTGTTAATTTTTACCATGTATTGATTGGTTTGGTTTAAACATATTTATTTAAGCTTGATTGCGAAACAAGTTCTTGCAACTTATATTAATCACTTTCGAGTCCACTTCCTGGAACCAACCAGTGCTGGTGTCATATGAAGAACATGGTCATGACCCTAGTAGGGCTCGAACCCATGATCTCTGGGTTGAGAGGCAGACACCTTAACCACTAGGCCACGGCTCCCCTTAATTATGTGTGTATATATGTAAATGTTAATATGTATTGATTGTATTTATATTACCTAATTGCTCTATGATTTATAGTAATAAGACTGATTCATGCTACTGTTGAACATTACAATGTTTTATTTTCACCTCTTTACTTCCAAATAAGATGACACCAACACATTAAATATAAATAATGTTAACATAAAAGAAATTTTCATAGCAACTCAACCAAGTTACAATGGTCTTAAGATATGTCAGGTACAGGTACTTGTATTTCTGCATTCAATAGAATAATAATGTTTCATTTCACTGAATTTACAAGTAAATGAATATGTTTAAAACTATATTGAACCAACTTAAGTGGGTCACATATTGATTGATCTATTTAATGTACATACCGGTATAGAAATACGTACTGATGTGATGTTTTAAAAAGGTGCAAAGTGATGATATATAATTATGTTTCAATAGCATAATATCACTGGCATAAAATTACACTTTTGGTAAAATAATTATCATGCGGATTGAAATCCTTCTACTCTGTCGATCAATATCAATACCTCAAAGTTTGTTATTTCTGTTTTAATTTTTATACAAGGTATTTTAGGCATATTGGACTCATATTATTTTACTTTTGTAAAACACAAAAGAGAAAAATTTATATGCCAAAAAATTTCAAAAGCACTTTATAAATTCAGAAATAGTGCTGAATCCTAAATTGTGTAATGTTTTTGAAAACTAAAGGTATGTTTTGAAAAAATTATTCAAAAACAAATTTCCTTTATAATGAAGATATTAGAAGAAGTAGTCTTAAAACCTTGTAGTACTGTGCTACATGATGTCCATTTCAACAAAGATGAACTTTATTAAAGCTGTAAAAAAAGAGTTGTTTTCCTTTTTATTCTGTGATATTTTAAAGAATATACCTAACTTCTGTGCTAAATTTTAACCCTTAGTCATCAATTTAAGGAAAATTAACTAATGTAACACTGAAAAATATATTGATAAAGAGTTACTTACCTTGCAAAATCAACCTCAACCAGAAATATTGTAAGTCATGTTTAACATTTAATTACAATATGAATATTATTTTGATATTATGAGGTTATTATACATTATTAAGTACAATACTGAATTCTATTGGACTAGTAGACAGCTGTCAAACCACAAGGTGAGTCCAATATAGGTTTTGCAGCTTTGTGTCCATTAGAATCAGTTTTGTTCTCAACATTGTTGAATGACCTCTATATTTCACACCACCATATTTTACAGAACTTAGTTGCTTTAAGTACAATAAAGATTTGATATGAATTTTTGGACTCTGTAATTGAAGACAAGGCTAGATTGATATGCATTTGATATAGATATTTTGGAATTTGAAAGTGAAAACAATGATATATGGGGTACAGCCTGGCATTTCATACAGGTATTGAGCCATGTACATTATAAAGCTAAATTGGCAAAATTAGATCCAATAATGAATTCTATTAGAGCATCACATGGTTAAAATGCTGAAAGTTCATTGCTTATATTTTAAAAAGTCTGAAATATAAATACCATTAATTTGGTATCCGAGTGACATGAAATTATGAAAACTTTTTGAAATCATCAGGTTTTGCTTTAAAAAAAAAACCAAGAGAGGGTTAATTAATGCAGCTTTATTCATTCATTAACATCTGCAAAAGCATGCTCAGGTTGATTTATCCGATAAGGCTTGTTTTCTTTCCTACGTATATATACCTGTGTGGACAGTTATATAAGCATTTTAATTAATTATTGTATAAATGAAAATATGAAAAGAAATAGCATTTGATATGAAAATGCTGTTCCCCAGTTATGTTACAAATCACAGTTAAATGAGTTTAGTCTTCTATTATATTTAATTCTATTAACCCTTAAGCTGCTGGAACCAAAAGTGATCAGCCTTTGCCACCAGTATAGAGCCAGGCTGGCCTGCACATCGGTGCAGTCTGACCAGGCTCTATACTGTTAGCAGTTTAACTTTTGTATTTTGATATTGAAATCTTTTGAATGGATTGTTCCAAATTCAAAGCTGGACAGATTCATTGTAGAAATATAGCAAATTATGGGTTATTACTGACGAAAAAATGTGTCGTCAAGAATTTGCGTACATTTTCTAAATACTGTACAGGTACATTTTGATGTCATATTTTCTTTGTTTTACAGGTATGATGTCATATTTTCTTTGTTTTACAGGTATGATGTCATATTTTCATTGTTTTACAGGTGTGATGTTATGTTTTCTTTGTTTTTCAGGTGTGATGCAGGCTGTTGTCTCATTCCATTCTGTTGCGATTCATGCCAGGATGTGGTTCACACTTGCCCAAACTGCAAACAAGTCATTTCAAGATATAACAGAATGTAGTCTGGGAGAGGGAGAAAAAAAACGATAATTGCAAAGCAAATGTTGTCTGTTGATGAATAACATTGTTTATGTTTGAAAATGTTGTTAATAATTGAAAAGCTTGACAATTAATCATTTTTACTGTAACACTTTTATATATAATCTTATTTTCCCCTAAAATTTTTCAGTGTTTGTCATTTAATTTCTACTGTCATACTCATCATTTCTGATTGACCAATATCTTAGATATTTGTTGTGCTATTAACTTTCATAGACCTCCTTTAGTAACTTTTGTAGACCTCCAGCCAAGAATTTCAGAAAGATTAGGTCAAGGTCACTGATGCTAAAATTAGATCACATTTTATGAATCAAATCATTATCTCATATCTTTTCATACTGTAGTAAAAACAACAGCAACTTTTAAATGGACCATCTTTAAGGGGATTCCTTACATTATTCATTTACAAAATATATCTTTGTAATCCGATGACTGGATAAGAAATCCCTTGATTGTATTTCTTATTATTTGTAATGAAGTATGTAGTAAAATTGTGTGATAATGTATAAATGTAAATATTTGTAGTAAAAACATAGAGTTTGATTCTCTGTTTAAATGCTGCCTTCATTGTCTAGTAGTTAACATCCTTGATCTTAGATCTTTTACTTTCGCTTCTATGAGATCTGTGGTTAAAAATGTACAAAATATGTTCATTAGGAGAAAGCTATGCAGTTAACTAGAGGGCTGAGTTCATTTATACAGGAACTATATGTGGTAAAACACAATAAAAATGGACTGTCAGGGGAGGTTACTAGAAATTTAATCCTCTACACATAGTAAAGTACAGTTGAGTTCACACTAAACTTCCCACCCTTGTGCACTTCTAGTGCACTAGAGCTGAACTAGAAGTGCACTAGAAGTGCACTTCTAGTGCACTAGACCATATGACCAGGCTGGCCAGGGAAGGTGACACCTAAATGGTTTATTGGATAATTGTATATCAAGTGTGTGGGGGGGGGGGGGCATCCATTGTTACGCTGCTGTATGAAAAAAAAAATGGGAAAATATATATATGGCCTATTCATGAATATAAATAAGTAAATTTTAAAATCAGCAGTTTTAACATTTTAGGTGATTATCATGTTGAAGCTTAAAATTAAAATGTTTTTTTTTTCATTTATTGTAATCATATTTTTATTAACCAGTATTTAACTGTAAGTGAAAAATAATACCCCTTAAAATCAAATTTATAAAATTAATAAGGTTAAATTTAAATTATGCTCCGTAATGGATAATGAAATAAGTGTTTTTAAAGCTTTTTTAAATGGCCATATATTTCAATTTTTCTAGTGTACAAATGATATAAATCAATGTGATAATTCTGGCCCAATTAATTTAGTTTGTTACATCATAAACTTTTTTTCATAAGCTCAAACAAATCAAGGAAAGGTTATATTTAAGCTAAAATATTATTTCTATAATATATAACTTAGAGACAATTCATCATGTTCAATATTGAAAGAGAATATTAATACATTGATTTTAAAACAATTAATATACTGTGATCATTTAGTATTCAACTGTGTAATGCTTGCATATGTTTATGCAAATAATTTAAATATTATCCATAAAATAAATAAATTTGATATCTTTATTCATTATTTCAATATTAAAAATTTAATGTATAAAGGGAATACTTTTATTGAAGAGGAAAATCTCAAGTCATGCTGTGTATCGGTATTTTCTGAGAGGGACAGTTTTCAATATACCACTCTCCTGCTGATAAGAGGGCCCCAGGGTAAATAACAAAGAACAGTCAATTTTGCAGATTTATAAGAATGCATTGAAATTCCCTTGTTTTCGCAAAATGCATGTTAGACATAAGCCTGGGATTCATCAGGCGTTGGCACTCAGTAAATGACCATAATTTTTGTATAATCAAATATACATAAAAACAACATAAAGGCATAAATGCATAATAGATATTATCAGAGACATAGATAGATGTTATCTATGTCTCTGATATTATTGTTCTTAAAGCGGAATTTTCTATATGTATCCATTTATCCACATTTCTTGCCATTCTGCATAATAATATCACAGATTTATATTACTATATACTATTAATATAAATCTGTGATAATATATAACTTAAGAGGCAATTCCTCATGTTCAAGATTGAAAGAGAATATTAATTCATTGATTTTAAAACATTTTATACACTGTGATATTATGTTTTTCAACCATAAAATGCTTGCATACTTTTTAAAGATATACATAATTAAAAATTTTCCATAAAATAAATAAACTTGATAACTTTATTCAAGATTTCTACATTAAAAATGTAATGTATAAAGGGAATGTTTTTATACAAGAGGAAAGATTCAAGTCATGCTGTGTATTGGCGACTGTTTTCATTACACTGGTCTCCTGCTGATAAGAGGGCCTCAGGGTAAATAACAAAAATGCAAATGTATGCAATATTTATTGAAAATTTCCCTTTTCCCCCCAAAATACATGTAAGTCATCGATAAATGACTATACTTTTTGTATAATCAAATGTAAAAAATAATCTTAATGTCATAAATGCACGTTAGATATTATTGTCATTTATTGTCTTTGGAGTGGAATTTTCTAATCTTATTATAAAAAACTATTCTACAAAGACTTTGTATCAATATTTTTTCACATTTCTTGCAATTCTGCATTAAAATTTGCAGCATCTTAATTCTTTTAGTTTTTGAACTGGGAAATGTTATTTTTTTCTATTATAGATTTGACAAATTTGCCTTGTCAGTTTTTACGCATTTAGAAGATAATATATTTTAAAGAAAATATTATTTAAATACATGATTATAAAACTTTTGCAACTTCCTTTTCACTTTAATGCAGATCTGTTTTTTTTGTTGTTTTTTTTTTCTGTTTTTTTTTTATTTTTTTTTATTTTAATTTAATATCATACATGAGCAGAAAACAGTTACAGGAGATTAAAGTGTCAAAAGTCATGCTGTGTATAGGTGTTTTGATATAGTACCCTGCTGATAAGAGAGCCCCTCAGGGTAAATAACATAAGCCAGATTACTAAGGCGATGTAAATTCTGTATTCTCTGGATGTTGGTGCAAATAAATTTCATTACAAATAGTACAAAAAGAAAAATGAATATTTTTGCAATTTATAATAAACTCATCAAATTAATCATATTGCATAATAATGTTACAATGCATGAAAAAAAAAGGAAAAAAGATTGGTGTCGCTTAAAAAAATGGAATTGACAGATTTTCTAATCTTTTTGTTAATATCCATGTCAGTTTAAGTATACTAGTATCCCACAGGTACATATCAATACTTAATCCACACATATCAATACATACCACCATTATATATAAATATTTATTTTCAGAATAATATATATCATTTATATATAATCTTAGGTAAATCTCAGTTTGAGAAGGTAAGAGAGATCATAAATGAAATAAAATTGACAAAATTTAGGCCAATTATAAACATATTAATTCTTTAATGTATTAAAGGCTATTAATGCCTTTAACTAAAACAAGTTAACAACCATAAGTTAAGATCAAAAATAACTAATACTACGGTATAATTCCCCCTCCCCCCAAAAAAGAACTGATTTAATTTTGTTTGATTAGCATTTCAATGTTTCATATTTCATTACCAGATTATAATAAAATAGAATCATATTAAATATCAATTAAGTTTGTTTATTTATGCACTTATCAACATTAAAGTTATAATTATTTATATTTAAATTACTTATTCTAACAATTAAATTTTAAAGTACAAAATCAGTAAAATTAATGACTTTGAAATTTATTGTTCTAATATTTTACGCCATATTTTACAAATTCCAATATTCACAACTTCAAATTTTTATTGAAAAACTATTAAACAGATATCTATATTTTCTATCTTTTTGTAAAAGTCGAATTGCTATTAAGTGAAATAAAAGGTAACTGCTTCATACATATAATAGGTCTGGTGCACTACAAAGTGCACTTTGTGTAACCTTTAGTGTGAACTCAACTGTAACAATAAGACTTAATGTCTGCTATATTATAGTAATTGGACAGCATTGGTAGAGAAATTAAACAATGCAGCTGTCGGTTTATGAATCTATTAACAAATGATACAACAGAGAGGTGATGCCAGGAGGGTTTAGGTGTGGCTTATCAGCTAATGGCTAATATTAGCTGACCATGCAATGGCGAGTCAGTATATTAAAGAGACTTTGAATGTTTTTGGTCATAATTACCCAACCAAATTCAATAAATACCAGTAATGTCAAAAAAGGTCATGGCTATTCATTGTGTCTCTATCAGATATGAGTTTGGATGATGTAATACGACCTTGACAGCGTTTATGACCTTGACAGTGTTTGATGTTAATAAGAATTGGACCAAGTTTAATAAATATATCAAAACGATCACTTTTGTAACTACTCCATCGTGCAATAATACCAAGTAACCTAGTCATAATATTAGTGTTATACATTGTAAATATTCATGTATTGGAACAAGCACATGAAACATTATATGAAATGATTATATGTTTTAGTGTATTGTTATATGAATGTGTATTTTTTTTCTCTAAATTTGATTATCAATGCCATGGGTACAATGGTTTATCTAAAAGTTACCTTTTAACATCAATGAATATTTTAGACCATAATTGTGACATGTAGCATCGTCTGGTATGTTCAGCATATAACGCAAAATTTGGACACATTTACCTCTATAATACATAGCTTACAGAAAAGTTCTATTCGTTCTAAAGTCAATTTCTTGAAAATTGTTAAATAAGCAGTGAGATTGGGAAAGCATCATCAAAACCATGGTTAAATAGTTAATGTAAGTATTACATAGTGTGTAAATGATCAAGTTATTATCTAATGTTGTAGTCTGTATTATACTACCATTTCTCTTTTCACATAAAATGCAATATTGTTGAGCTTTTTAGCTCACCTGTCACAAAGTGACATGGTGAGCTTTTGTGATCACTTTTCGTCCGGCGTCTGGCCGTCCATCCTTAAACTTTTACTTTAAACAACATCTCCTCATAAACCACTAAGCCAATTTCATCCAAACTTCACAGGAATGTTCCTTTGGTCAACTTTAAAAATTGTTCAAAGAATTTAATTCCATGCAGAACTCTGGTTGCCATGGCAATGGAAAGAAAAAACTTGAAATATCTTCGTTTAGAAAACCGTAAGAGCTAGAGCTTAAATATTTGGCATGAAATATCATCTAGTCAGTGTCTACCAAGTTTGTTCAAATAAATGCCCTGGGGTCAAAATTGGCCCCGCCCGGGGTCATTGATTTTCCTTATTTGTATATAATATAGTAAAAACTTAAAAAATCTTCTTTTGTATATAATATAGTAAAAACTTAAAAACTCTTCTTTTAAAAAACCCAAATAGCTAGAGCTTAGCTATTAAGCACGAAACATCTTCTAGTGGGTGTCTACCATGTTTGTTCAAATAAAAGCCCTGGGGTCAAAATTGGCCCCATCCCAGGGGGTCATTGTTTTTCCTTATACATTGTATGTGTATAGTAAAAACTTAAAAAATCTTCTTAGCGCTAGAGCTTAGATATTTATCATGAAACATCTTCAAATGGGTGTCTACCAAGTTTGTTCACATAAAAGCCCCTGGGTTAAAATTGGCCCGGCCCGGGGGCCTATATACAGGTGAGCGATTTCAGGGCCATCATGGCTCTCTTGTATTAATATTCCTTCATACCAGCCTGAACTGTTTTGTACATATTTGTTTTTAACTATGTTTTTTTTTTTTGTTAATGATAATCATAAATGATTACAATCTATTATAGTAATAGATATATGTAAAAGAAGAAAATGAAAAGATGCATTATCTAGAAAAAATGTCTTCAATTATTGTTTGCAATCAGATTTATATTAGTCCAAATCCTAAGCATTAAGAAATATTTTGAAGAAATTATAAATTATTCACATAGAACAATTTGAATTATTTTTATAAAATAAGTATATTGTTTTAACAGTCTTGAATTTTACAAGTGGGAGGGGGGGGTCTTTTTAAAATTCATAATGTTATGATTTAAAAAACATTTACAAAACTTTTGTTGTATTTTGATGTGCAGTATTAAATGATTTTATTATTCATAAATTAGTTAATCTTACATTTTTTTCTCTGTATTTTGATACAAACACACCTATATGCTTGACTGTATTGCTTACTTAATTAAACATTCATACCTATTTGAACGTGCTTGTTTTCTGTGATATCTGAAAGCATTCATAAGCTTAGTTTAACCCTTTGGTAAATTTATGTTATGTATTTACCATGCTTTGATTTTGAACAGTCCATGTCAATAGCAAAATAGAACAAGAGCTATCAGGGGACAGGGATGCTTGACAATTCGAAAGAGTTTACAAGGGTGTTTCATTGAGTATAATAATGCTTACCTATATGAATACATAAAATTGTCCGAAAAGGTACAAAGGCTTGTTATCAAGATGTTTTATCGTGTAAATCACTGCTTGATTATTATGAATGCATAAAATTGTAACAAAAAAAGGCACAAACCCTTCAATAGTTATGGAGATACCAGCTTACTTCCAAAATATGACCAAGCATTTCTATGTTGAAAAAGGCGCATAAATATCCACAGGGATGCCGACATCGACAAATTGGTGACTGCATTCATTTGAGTATTCTGCAGATAGTCAAGCTAAAAATTGAGCTACTGACAGTATAGAACCTGGTCATACACCACAGATGATGCCTGCCCTGACTCTATACTAATTAGCAATGGCTAATCACTTGTGTCCTTCCAGCAGGTTAAGGGTTTAATACATGTACTATTAATGGTCATTTATTATCCCCGCCGAAAAGGCGGCGGGGGATATAGAAATAGTCTCCGTCCGTCCGTCCTTCCGTCCGACATCTTTGTCCGGAGCATATCTCAAAAAGTATTTGAGGTATCAACTTGAAACTTCATAGGTGGATGGATCTCATTGAGGAGGAGTGCAGTGCACAAGAATGATAACTCTACCCTGCATAATTTTTGAGTTATTGCCCTTTGTTATTTTTCAAAATTAATTTTTGTCCAGAGCATAACTCAAAAAGCCTTTGAGATATCAACATGAAACTTGATAGGTGCATAGATCTAACTCAGGAGGTGTGCAGTGCACAAGAATGATAACTCTACCTTTCATAATTTTTGAGTTATTGCCCTTTGTTATTTTTCATACCTAATTTTTCACCTGAGTGGAGCATAACTCAAAAAGTATTTGAGATGTCAACATGAAATGTCATAGATGGATAGAGGTTATTGAGGAGGAATGCTGTGCGCAAGAATGATAACTCTTCCCTATACAATTTTTGAGTTATTGCCCTTTGTTGTTTTTTTCATGCTATTTTGTCCAGAGCTTATCTCAAAAAGTATTTGAGGTATCAACTTGAAACTTCATAGGTGTATGGATCTCATTGAGGAGGAGTGCAGTGCTAAAGAATGATAACTCTGCCCTGCATTATTTTTGAGTTATTGCCCTTTGTTATTTTTCAAAATTAATTTTTGTCCAGAGCATAACTCAAAAAGCCTTTGAGATATCAAAATGAAACTTCATAGGTGCATAGATCTCACTCAGGAGGTGTGCACTGCACAATAATGATAACTGTACCTTTTATAATTTTTGAGTTATTGTCCTTTGTTATTTTTCATACTTAATTTTTCAATTCAATTTTTTTCTCAAAAAGTATTTGAGGTATCAACTTGAAACTTCATAGGTGGATAGTTTTTACTGAGGAGGGATGCAGCACACAAGAATGATAACCTACCCTGCATTATTTTTCAGTTATTGCCCTTTGTTATTTTCAGCCATCAGTATTCACATAGGTTTCAACTCTGTAATCACTATAGCCATCAGTTTTCATTACCAAAAGACCTCTTAAAATGGAATTATTCTGCTCTACTACATATACATTCTTCCAATGAGCAAACACATTCGGCGGGGGATGGCCATGTTGACATGGCTCTTTTTGCCCTTTGTTCTTTTTCATACTATTTTGTCCGGAGCTTATCTCAAAAAGTATTTGAGGTATCAACTTGAAACTTCATAGGTGGATGGATCTTATTGAGGAGGAGTGCAGTGCACAAGAATGATTACTCTACCCTGCATAATTTTTGAGTTATTGCCCTTTGTTATTTTTCAAAATTAATTTTTGTCCTGAGCATAACTCAAAAAGCCTTTGAGATATCAACATGAAACTTCATATGTGCATAGATCTCACTCAGGAGATGTGCAGTGCACAAGAATGATATTTCTATCTTTCATACTTTTTGCGTTATTGCCCTTTGTTATTTTTCATACCTAATTTTTCACCCGATCGGAGCATAACTCAAAAGTGTTTGAGATGTCAACATGAAATGTCATAGGTGGATAGATCTTATTGAGGAGCTGTGCACAAGAATGATAACTCTTCCCTATACAATTTTTGAGTTATTGCCCTTTGTTCTTTTTCATACTATTTTGTCCGGAGCTTATCTCAAAAAGTATTTGAGGTATCAACTGCAAACTTCATAGCTGGATGGATCTCATTGAGGAGGAGTGCAGTGCACAAGAATGATAACTCTACCCTGCATAATTTTTGAGTTATTGCCCTTTGTTATTTTTCAAAAATAATTTTTGTCCAGAGCATAACTCAAAAGGCCTTTGAGATATCAACATGAAACTTGATAGGTGCATAGATCTAATTTAGGAGGTGTGCAGTGCACAAGAATGATAACTCTACCTTTTATAATTTTTGAGTTATTGCCCTTTGTTATTTTTCATACTTAATTTTTCACCTGAGTAGAGCATAACTCAAAGTGTTTGAGATGTCAACATGAAATGTCATAGGTGGATAGGTCTATTGAAGGGGAATGCTGTGCACAAGAATGATAACTCTTCCCTATATTATTTTGAGTTATTGCCCTTTGTTCTTTTTCATACTTTTTTGTCCGGAGCTTATCTCAAAAAGTATTTGAGGTATCAACTTGAAACTATATAGGTGGATAGATTTTACTGAGGAGGGGTGAAGCACACAAGAATGATAACTGCATTATTTTTCAGTTATTGCCCTTTGTTATTTTCAGCCATCAGTATTCACATAGGTTTCAAATCTGTAATCACTTCAGCCATCAGTTTTCATTACCAAAAGATGTCTTAAAATGGAATTATTCTGCTCTACTACATATACATTCTTCAAATGAGCAAACACATCCGGCGGGGGATGGCCATGTTGACATGGCTCTTGTTAATCTTGATTGTGAACAACTTTTCGAGATTTTTTCTCAAAACTGTCCAGTACTGGTACTGGTAAGAGGAAACATGTTTGTGACTCCAGTACAGCTTGAACCCATAATTGCTAAAATTGAGAGGCACTTAAACCACTAGGTCTCTGCTCCCATTTTCTTGTTTGTTTGAAATGTTAGGGTGAGAATGACCATGCCATGCCAATGTGGAGTTGGGGTAGCCTTCATATTTGTACAGTATTACTAAACAATATTTGCTACCAAGTTTTAGTATGTTGACATTAATATCACTTGCATGGTCAATGGACAGTACCATGTTTAATTCAGGACATGCCAGGATTATACTAAGGGTTTACAAATCTACATGAATCAATGGTAGGGCTTTAGGAATATTTTTTAAATACATGTATGTACATCAAAAGAAGTAACACTGCTGTATCAAACTCAAATGAAATGGTTGTTACTAAAAACAGCATCAAATTTAAAGATGATTTCAACTGATTATGACTCAGTGTCAGGTGACCAATTATATTGGTGAGGCTGGAATTTCCTACCATTATCGGCCCTCTGTACATGAGGAAGTGCTGAAACGGTCATGTGGCATCCTATTCGATGTTATCAAAATTTTTTTAGTATTAATGATTTTGTGATTAAAACTTAACCTAACCAGTATAGACTTAAAGATACAGTTGTCCAAGTATGTTTGATCTTGACCATGAACAATGATGTTTGCCTTAAAGTACCCTAGTTGTACATAAATGTAGAACTAAACCTATAAGATTTAAATGCAACCCATTACTTTCCTTTAAATATAATACTAATTTAACTAATGTATGTATGTCTCATAAATTAAAACTATAATATTTTACGATTTGGTAAAAAAAAGTTATTTGCTTATTTCTGTTCGTAAGTATAAAGAGCTTATAACAAGAAGTACACCCTTGCAAGAAAGGAAAAAATACTTTAAAACAATCAGTTACTGACTTCTTATCAATACAGTGGAATATTTCATGAAAATTCAGTCAGTATTTTGAAAGAAGAAACACAAAAATGGTCTCTTTAAACAGACAACTTTAATCCTGTATACCTTGTGAGACTGAGTTTAGTTGTATATTTATGACTTAAAACTTTAACTTTTGTAATTTTAAGCATAAAACCTTTCAAATTGCTTCTGTTATTCATAAAATCATAACATATATCAAGAACATGTTTTTCTGTATAAAAGTTTTATTATTTATATCACAGACATTTAATAACTTCAAGTAAACACTTATTTCAGAACTGTACACAGATGACATTGTGTCTAGATTCCCTAAAATAAACAATGACATAATTATGTACTCTCCATATACTTCATATATATCAAATTCCATAAAAATATTTCCGTTTCATAACCAAAACTAAATGCCACTCAACTAAAGTCCGGCTTTACTTTTGTTAGTTTTGTTTAACACAATATATTCTAAGCGCGTCCACTCCGGGCTTGTTCAATTTTACGCCTCACTTGATTACAATGCAGTGTAAGTTCTGCATGTTGCATTTTCAGATGTTCAAGTTTATTACGAAGGTCATCGCCTTCATCTTTACGCTCTTCAAAGTCTCTTAGTAAAGATTCATTCCCTAAAAGTCCACAATTTTGTCGTAAACGTTGGTTATCAATTCTTAAAGCGTCTCTTGCTTGTTTTGTTCTAGATAAAATATCTCTTTTCTGAAATAAAAGAAATTTAGATGAAATACTCAGTAGATTGAACGAAACAAAATGACAGGGTTTCATTATTTAGTGATTTACTTATTCTTTATCTCACAAATAGAAACATCAGATGTGTCAGGTAATATTTTGCATTTTTCATATATCCAATCTTAGAAAAAAAGATTATTACAAAACTGCTTGATTTTGCAACATGATTATTATTGATTTATAACACTTAACAGTAACCTTTCTATGAAAATTTTGAATACGCTTCAATAAAATTAATTATATTAAGAATTAATACATCAAAGTTACCAATTCAATTATACCAAAGCAGAATATTTAACAGTAAGTTGGGATTACCTGTCCAACTTCGGCCTCCACTTCCCGCAGGTTACGTTTCTGTACTTGATTTTCTGCCTGGACATACTGTAGCTTCTCTTTTAAATGTGTTAACACCTGAACAGTGCTGGTAATCTTCTTACGTAATTTCAGCAACTCCTATACAATATATTAGAAAATATTATTTACAATATTGTACTGTGAACACTATTAAATTCAGTAAGACAGGATTGTCTTTTAATGAAACAAGCAAGTTAATCAACATGTTTCCATGGCCTTTTAGAGCTCAATTACCCAATCATGTTGGTTTGTACTTATTTTCATCTGAAGTGAAGGTAATTTTCAACAAAACTGATAATCTGTTCTACTATTATAGCAATCCCAACACCATTCCATCCACCCACAATTCCCTCATTATTGCCATACCCACAGGGACCCGACATCATTCCATTTATTGAAGAAAAAAGCACTGCCCAAGAAGAAAATGTGTTGCGTTTGTCTTGAAAATTGACCAAAAAATTCAGATGCTATGATTTCTTTTTAAATGTAAAGTAATGTTTCACATCAAAGAATTAATAAAACTTTTGTTTCATACTGAAGTGAAGTTTATAGTGTGTTCAAATAAAATTGTTCTTCACTTCAATATTATAACTTTGGCAGGATTAACAACGCCCACCACCACCTCAATAACTACCAATGCTCTTAACCTTACTGATATAGCAATAAACATTTATTTAGAGACATTAAACCCACCTCATTTCTTTCTTCAATCTTCTCATTATATGTCTGGTTTTCAATCTTCAGCTGTTCAAAATCTATCAAATGTAAACCTTCAGCTAACTCCTCCTGAAATAATAATATAAACAAGCAATGAAAGAACTGGAAAAAAAGAAATCCTCCAGTCTAACACAGTATAGGAAATTAGGTCATATTGCGACTTTCCAGCTTTACTGGTGAAGGAAGACCTCAGGTACCCTCAGGCACAAATGAATACTTGACATAAAGAATTACAATATAAAGTTTTAAAGAATAGAACTTTGAAATAAGTTTTAAAGTGAGGATATTAGTTAAAGAAAATAACAGCCAACTGTTATAGGAACTTAGATACCACAGTCAGTATTAGCTGCCTGTGTTGACACTTGTATACCAAACTAAGAAGGAGCAAAGCATGAAAAAATATAATATTATTTCTTATTTTCATTGATCACGATTTATAATAAAGAAAGTTAGCTGACTTCTTGTACTGAAATGTTATAACTATACTATTACTGTATTTACCTTAGACTTGAGCTGGTGTTCTTTCTTCTTAAGTTTATTTTTCAGTTTGATATTTTCCAGTCTCACATTTATCACCTCCCCTTCTTTTCTTGCTTCGCCTGCTAAATACTGTTCGATATCCTAGAAAACGAAAAATGTACATTTGAAAGTTGTGTCCATTTACTTACAGGCAAAATAGAAATAGCGTTATTCCATCTAGTGTGGATTCATTTAAATAAATCTTAAGAGTTTTTGGATCTAATATGAAAGAAAAATGATGACTGAGTCTAAGCACAATTGTTTAAAAAAAATTGAATTAAGTTTGCTCAACTTATTTCAAGATATCTCAATGCTTCATACAATATTTCTCCCTGAATGAAATACTTTTACTCACATTTCTTACATACACATGTAGTTCAAATTTATTCATTTCAACTTGATTATACAGGCAATTTTTATTTGATTAAAATCACTCCAAAATCCATCACTTGCTGAGCATACACATATGCTATTAAAAAATGTGAAATATGACGATACCAATCAAACCCACTTTCCCCTGCCTGATGCTAGTAATCATTTGCTATATAAATGTACATTAATAATAAAACCGCAATGATTTTTTCAAATGTTGAAAAAATTCTAACAGACAGGTCCACCTACCTTTGGTGGTATTGGTCGACCAGATCTACTATTGAGCGCATTAAGTGCCACTTGTTTCTTGAACTCCATGAACTTTTTACGTTCCTCATCAACTCTCTCTTTACGTTCCTCGCAGCGAGACTTGAGCTCTTGTATCTGATGTTTGTAGTTGTCCCTCTCTTGCATGTCCTGTCTACGCAGGTCCTCTAACTGAGCTGTAAATATTACAAACATAAAGACTGCACTACTGTATTACTGTATAAGTGGTTATAAGATAGCAGAGTGGAAATATTGGCGATTTAGGGAATTGAAGAAAATCGCTAAAATTTCCACTACCTTACATATCAACCAACCTATCATTAAATACTATTTTTGCATGATTTGATAATATTTCACTCTCACAAAAAGTCTGGAATTTTAAATTTGTTAACTTTTCAACACGCGGAAGTGTCCACTTATACAATAATCATTTGTTTAAATATTGATGAAAAATAATTCTGTATTGAAGAAAACATAGTTCTGTACACTATATTAAAAACATTGTTGAAGTTGTGTATAATTGATATTTTTATCACTACCTCTGACTATATTTAATTACTAGTAAGTTTTTTCCATACATGTATATGGCATTTTTTTATATTTGGTGCAAGTGACCAAGGCAAGTTATCATATGAATAACTGAGAATCGGTTATAATGTGTGGTCGAAACTATTTGATCAAAGTACAATAACTAAACCCATAACCTGCTGTTTATGTTTCCTTGTACATCGATTCAGTTCAATAGTTAAAATATTTATATGTTAAAACTTATGTACAGATAAATAAATATACATGTTCCCAATCCCTAACAAACATCCATGCCAAACATTCAAAAATATGGGTATATAATATAGGTATTTGACATTCATGTGTTACAACCATATGTCACTAATCATAACGAGTTTAGGGAAAAAAATCAATCAATTGTTTCCTTACCCATATATTTGAGATATCTTTGTTCTTGATCTGTGACATTTTTATCATATTCCTGTCGACTTTCATCTGCCTTCTTTTTCCTGAAGTATTCAGCTAGTTTGTGCTGCAGGGAGTAGTTTGTCTGTTGAAGCTGCTCTCTCTCGGCAATAGCTTGCTGTATTTTATCAATAGAGGTAAACAAACCTTTACTTTCCAATAAAGCATACAAAGACTCTATACAGAGAGAATATTTCTTCAGCTCTGTCGGCAAATCAATCCAGACTACCGGGCTTAGCATTAGGAAACAAATTGAATAAGATCAAAAGCTGTAATTATCTATCTCCTATCCTTTTTATACTTAAAGATTGAATTTTATCCAACTAAAAATATCATGCCATTGTTTCATACTGACAATACAAAGGGAAGTAATTCATACCAAACTTGCAAAAGGGAGGTAATTTTTATAATAAGAAGGGAAGCAACCCCTGCAAGAAAAAGGGAGGTAACTAATGTAATACTCAAAAGGGAAGCAACTTGAGATTAGTTTGAAAAAAGGAGTTACCTTGCAAGAGAAAATTTTAGTTTGGATGTAAATAAGTTGCCTGTCATCAATGAATCATCCCTCTTATTTGTCTTAACAAAATTCAAAATTTCCAGTCAATTCATATGCTATATTGCTATTGCTACAACAGTAACTTACATGGTATCGTTCTATCAGCTCCTCTCTGTCAAACTCTGGTTCTTCCTCTTCGTCTTCTTCCTCCTCCTCATCTTCCTCCTCCTCATCAAATGCTTCCAATTGTCCCCCTTCTTTGTCCCCCTCAGCAGTTCCAGGTCGCGACCTCTCAGGAGTCCCTGGTTCTAGGATATCTGGAACTGGTACTGGTGTTTGCTCAACAGGGCTTCCTTCTCTTGATAATTTTTCACCAACTCCTACTGGGACAGGACTTTCTGCACGTTCACCCTCAGCAAAGGTATCACTCTAAAAAAAATGAAATATAGTTCATTTACCATTCAAATTCTTACAATACATGTGAAAATATGATTTATGGCTCTTTCTAAATTATTAACTACGGTATATCACAATTTTTAATCATTTTTTTTTATATATGGACTATAAATAATGGTCCTTAATATATGTTTATCATATCAAAGCTGAGCAAGGAGGCAAAAACTGCCAAAGCTATGAGCTTTTTCATTTTCCAGATTTCCTGGTTTTCATTATACAAATGTAAGTATGTCTGAGTTTGTGATTTTACTAAAATATTAGAATACACTGATAAACACTTTTCCAACTTGCAGACGACAGGCTATTCTTATCAGTAGGTTTTCGAGTAAAGATAACTGGTTGCGAATCTCACTGTATAAATCGTATGTAAAATGGTCTGACATATGGTACGTTTACAGTTAATTTAAATACTTTGGTGTCAAAAAATGTGTTTAAATCATATACTCTGACAAAGCTAAAATCCCAAGCTTTCCATTGATGTAATAATTTTTAAAATAGGAGATTTAATCACAACAAACTAGCAGTTTAAAAACGGCTTAATTTGTATTGTTTTAGCATAAGAGATATCAATTTACTCGAAAATAAGGGAAGCAACTCGTATTTTTTCACTCGATATACCTCGGTTATTTACGTAGTTCATATGAAAAGTGTTTATGGGATTATTACAAACCTGGGGAACAGGTGATTTGGACCCTTCTGTTTCACCCTCTGGTTTAGTCTCCTCTCCTTCACCATCAGGCTTGTCTCCATCCTCCCCACCCTCCTTTGCTTCACCCTCGGCAGGAGCATCACCCTCAGCTGGGGCCTCACCCTCACCTTCTTTCTTTTCTTGATCTTCACCTAAATATACACCAACAGATATAAACGTCTTGTATGAAAAGGACATGACAGACTAAAAACAGAATTGCTTGTTTTCTTATTTGAAAAAAAACTGAACAAAATGAAAAATTAGAAATAATCTGTGACACCCTGTATCAATGTTAAAACATTTATATAGGAAGCTGCTATGTGTTCTGAGAGAAAAAAAATTAAAGATAAAAAGTATTGGGAAAAAACTGGTTAAAATATTTAAAATTCATAACATAATAACGTACATGTAGACTAGCTCTGAAATATTCTTTTGATCATAATTAATTCATTACTTTTAGTTATTATAAAACAAACCTCCTTCAGCAGGTGCCCCTTCTTCTGCTGGCTTCTCTTCCCCATCAACAGTAGCTTCTCCTTCTTCTTTCTGCTCACCCTCTCCCTCTGGCTTGACTTCGCTTTCACCGGCCTCTTGACCTTCTGCCTTTTGTTCCCCTCCCTCTGCTGTTTGCTCAGCCCCACCTTCTGGCACTTGTTCTGTCTCCCCAGTTTGTTCAGCACCACCCTCAGCTGTTTCTGTAGGTGTAGCTTCAGCTTGAGCAGTTTCTTCAGGTGCTGGAGTAGCCTCAGTTACTTCTCCTTCTACAATAAAATAAAGTCAAATTTTGTTAAACGGATATAATCTTGAAATAGTACATCATATATTTAAATAGTATTGTATTTCACAATATACTTCTTATTAAAAAATACATAAATTAGAGCCATTTTTTTAGTTTTTCATAGGCCACTTTTGAACAAATATGATAAAAAAGCCATCTTCCCACCTGGTTGTTGGGCTGGTTCTTCAGTCTGCTCAGCTGGAGCTTCTTCTTGTGTTTGAGGTTGATCCTCAGCTGGTGGAGCCTCCGCTTGAACCTCTGGTGCAGGTGCCTCCTCTGTAGTAGCAGAATTATTTGCCTGCAGAAAATAAGCAATTTATTTTGGTACCCATTTTGTATTTAAGGCTACATTACCTTGACACTTTTTTGTAAACGTTCACACAATTACTAAAAAATGAAATGATACCATTTAAATGGATGCACTTCTATTTGCTATACTATATATTTGTTTTCAAGTTGCCAATTTGATTACTTACACTAACAGTTATCTACTTTCTATTTTGAAAAACTAAAAATATTGTACACGGCTTTCCATGAGGGTGTCATTTTGCAGATTTGGAAGATAAACTTAGTTCCAAAAAATCAAGTCCTTAGTAATTATTTCACATTGTTGTTAAGTAAAAAAGTTGTATTCTCTCATATTCAAGGCTGCTTAGAGTGTTACTTATTCAGAAGTGTAAATCAAAATTTTGCCAAAAATGAAACATTATTCTCCATTTTTGTAAGACACCAGGCTTAACTCAAACTGTGGGATAATTTTATGATATTAACTAAGTAATAATTATTGCATTGTTGGGTGTTGGTTAAAGTAAATGAAATTAATATGATAAAATATGGAGGCCTTATTATATACTTTTCACTTTCTGTGTCTTCTGAGCTTTTGAAAGTTTTATAAGCATTAAATCTAGGAGGAAGAAATAAATCGGAACATAGACATGGACTGAAAGTTCCTGTACAGTAACTAGAATGCTTAATACTAGCAATGGTTTACCAATTTGTAAGGCTATTCTTTTTTATTATCCTGTTGCCTATCTGCTTTATATTGGGTGCAATTGCCCCCAAATCCCCTTAATAAATTTCAGATATCTCAAATGAGTGCAGACCCATAAGTAGATTCTACCTGGGTGGCACGATAGCTGAGCTCAGTTGGTTAGACCACTGACTGTCACCCCTGAGGTCCTAGGTTTAATCCTGGGTAACATCCTTGGGATTTTTCACACACATTTCAGTGTTTTCCACTTACCTAGAGGTGTACTGGTAAGAAAACAGGATAACCATTGCATGGCCTATACACTGGGCATGAAAAAAACCCCGAAGGGATCTATTTAATAAAAGCTAGGGACTGATTGCCGGATTCCCTTGTGTAATGTATCTCATAGCTGTCTCTCAATTCAGTTTAAACAATGTATACCTGCTTAGTGTAATCCAAAACGATTTTGAAGCAGTATAATGTAGATGTAAATAATAATAATTCTCAATGATATGTTGTTTTTGACATCGGTTATTCATTAACTTAAAGCAGCTGACCTCCTTGCTAATATTTCAAAATCCCCCCTCAAAATCATTATATAGTTAAAAGAAATCAAAATGACACTTCAAAATGTTTATATTTTAACATTATTGCTTTGAAAACAAACAGTTCGCTTTTCCACCAACAGGAAGTACCTTCTTTTATTATACCACGAAATCGGAGGCTTTCATCCGGGTTTTTTTCTAGTATCACGTGATCGTACAGGACAAATATCGAGACCTGTGCTCCGGAATGCACGAAATCCAGGATTTTATCAAACATGTAGGATTACGAATAACTGCTTTTGTTTTTATATTTGTAGTAATTCATGGCACTAAAAATTGTAATTGATTAATTATTTCACATATATGACGACCAATTCATCGATTTAACATTTAGCTTGAAATATGATAGGGGCCTACTCAATGACGAAAATTGATAAAAGATCCCGGGCATACCGGATACCGGGATTTTTCCAGGCCACTGTTGTAACAAGTGACTGGTTAAATAAATTATCTTCTATTTATATTGCCTACTGCGTTAGTAATGTAGTAGATTATGGAAAAGAAAAAACCGATATATTAACGCTTTTGTCAACATTCTTTCTTGAATTAAGGTGACAATAATGATGGATTTTTACAATAAACCTTACTAGATCAGTATTTACTGTTTACTTTAAATTTTATTTCATTTTTTTCATTTTACAATCTGGAGGTCCGTGGATTTAACATGATTAAAAAAGTGGCTATATCCTGGATTAGACCCCAAGGTCTAAACCAGGAGTATATATAAGGTTCATTCCGTTTTCTTTAGTGTATTATATACATGTTTTATACCTGAATCCAGGAGATTGCCAAAAAGGTTTTTTATTAAGTTTAGCAGACCCCAAAGTGCATGCATTTTTGTTTCTAAGCTGTTATATTTTATTCTGAATTTTGTTGTAGTTTTGAAAATATGCATCTTAAAACGTGGGTAAATGGGCAGCAGCTCCCAATAAGCAAGTTTGCTATTATTGTTTTTCTTCTGGAGTCTAAACGCAGAAACCTGATGTGAATTTTGGAAATCTGAGAAGTGCTGGAATCTCAGTCACAACATGCCGAAAAACTGTTCATTCCATTAACCGTCTAAGAGAAGTAAATATAATATAGACGAAGATTATCTTAACATTTAAATAAACAGATGACATACGGATAATCCGATTTTACCATAAAATTTATCACGTTAAAATTGTTTATCTGTTTTAGAGAGACAAACTATTGACAAAACTTGCATTATAAAGACAAATATATTTTAAATAAAACTTAATATACAATCAATTTATGATGTTTCGTTCAATTTCTTATTACGTACTGAATTCAATCACCTAGTTTAGTAAAATATAGTAAATAAAGTAAGTATTGTAGATTATTTACCTCTTGGTCCGCCATTTTGTTGCTATGTGAATGCGAGAATAAAACCTGTATGTTTACCGTTTCTTTTCCGGTGACGCCGTAACTTTTATTGGCGCCCGCGCCGAAGCGCGGCGCTCTTATGGAATGAGATCAGATTTTGTGAAAGGGCGACAGCAACTTCTCGAGCCTTTTAGTCGGTCATAATAAAAGCCGAAAATTCCGATCGGTATGAGGGTGCTTGATTATTAAATAAGAATGAAATGTCGCGATATGTTACAATGAATTTTCGCAATGCAAACATTTAAAAATGAAATAACCTTTTCGGTCAATAAATCGCGCTCTTCGGGGTTTTTTATTTATCATTTTGTAGTACACAGTCGGTTATCATGTCATGGTATGTTATTGTTGTACATGTATCCTAGAATGATCAGTTGATGACCTAAATATTCCAAAAACCTATTTATAGATATATCTTTTTATCACTCCTATCGGTAAATGCCGGTCTCTCCCGGTCTATTTTGACCAGGATTTACTAGTGACCGGCGAATAGTACCACACGTTATATTGTCCGGTCTCTCCCGGTTTTGGGGAGTAGATGTTTGATATCGTTACAATTAGAAAAAAAACAACAATAGCATGTTTCATTTTATCTATATGAGATAAAACAATAAATATGTAACGGATTTATATGTAATATAAATCCGTGATATGTACAATAATTGAGAAAAGGTACATTTTTATGGTATTAAAATGACATTATCAACTTTGAAACATTTTATTTAATTATTCAATTTGTTATTCGTGTTTAGTAAAGATGCCGAGGAATTATTCAAAGTTACAAATTAGATTTTATGAATTATTCAATTGATCGATAATTTAAAAAATGATAAAGAAAAATACAATGTACATGTACATGGTTTAAGAATAAACAATATTATATATTGAAAGATAAACCATAATTTACTGACTTTTTCCAGTTAAGCATTGACTATATAATCGTCGGTCAATATGACAATTGAATTCTTAAAATTTATTTTTACAATTTTAATAAAAAAGAGTAGTAAAAACTCAGTATTAAAATAGCACATAAACACAAAAAAGAATAAAAGAAAACAATATTCATAAAATTTGTATTTTTTAAATTAAAATTAATAGATATTACAATTATTGTATAATAAACAATTATGCTCAACATGATCAACATGGTAATATAACCAGTGTCAATATTTTTACTAACTTAAAGTGTGAACAGATACCTTAAGGGGGTCTTCGCTAATAGCGATAACATGTACATATTAAGGGACAAATGTGTGGTACGTGTTGATCATGCGTTACACATATGGATTATAAATGATTGCATACATGTATATCCGTTGCTATTAATAACCACGATCATAAAGAAATAACAAGTAATATTCTAATCTCTAGCATGCCAATCAAAGTTCATAATGAACAATGTCTTTCGTCCGCTCATTCATAAGTGGTATACATTTCTGGTAGTTTATAAGAATATCTTGTCATCATATGTGTACTAGTTCATCTTCACTTGCTGCATTTCTTGCTTGGACGCCCTTTGATGCTTTGCATCAATGCTTTTCTTGTAATAATTTGGAAGATAGTAATAAATTTGTGGACGCGTTGTTGATTGATAAATAGGCGAATGTTTTCATAATATACATATGTACATCTAAAAGACAATGTGTTAGGCCAAATTCGTTGCGACAATATTCATGAAAATGTGAGACAACTATTGTAGATTATCAATAAAGTGTACATTTTGGAACATACAATCTGGGACTTAAAAATAATATTTAAAGTCCCAGATACAATTGTTGTTTTGACATTTCAAACTAAATACTGCTGGTGCTTTTATATTGTGACATGTAAAATGTATAACAATTCCATTACATAGACATAATGGCTGAGAGTAATTTCTGATACTTAATGAATCAAATGCCCCAGATATTTTTGGTTTATGCGAAACATTTATATGTGATTCAGTAGAAGATAAGGATCTCAAAATTGATAATTATACTTTTGAAAGGAGAGACAGGGTATTGAAGGGTGGCGGTGGAATTGTTATATATATTAGAGATACTGTTTCTTATAGAAGGCGAATTGACATAGAATCCCAAACTGTGAAATCTGTTTGGTTACAGGTTATTTTTTCACACAATAAAACTGTAGTGTTAAATTTCTTTTACAGGCCACCTAACAGTAACCAGTCTTTGATTGATTTCTATGAGCAGCAATTAATTACTGCAGAATTAAATAATCTAGATTTGTATGTAATTGGAGATATGAACATTAACTATTCATACCCTAATAATTTTAATAATAGCAAATGGGCGCATATTGTTCAAGATTTTGGCCTCGAGCAATTAATTCAATCTCCTACTAGAGTAACTAAAGATACATCTACTATAATTGATCATTTATACGTATCTTCCCTTAACCATATTTATGATGTGAGTGTCTCTAATTGAAGCTTAAGCGATCACTATCCATTGTCGTTTACAATAAATGGTTACAAGAAGGGAGGCAAATGCTTTCTCGCATAAAACGATAAATTATCGTTCTTTCAAGAATTTTAATGAACAAGTATTTAAAGATGATTTGAATGCTATTAATTTTGATATGATTGAAACTATTGCAGAGCCAAATAACTCACTTGATGTTCTATACAATATGATTGAAACATTATTTAACAAACACGCGCCTGTAAAAGTAAAGCGTATTAAAAGGACTAAACAACCAGATTGGTACTCTGACGATATTAAAGAGTCCCGCAATAAAAGAGATCACTATAAAAGTTGTAAAGACTGGATTAATTATAAGTTATGGAGAAATAAATGCCAGGCTATTATTAAAAAGAGTAAGAAGATGTTCTTTAACAAGGCAGTTGAAGATTCGAGAGATTGTAAATTTTTATGGCAAAATTTAAAAGACATATCAAATGAGAATAAGCAGCAACCGTCTTTACCAATCACATTAAACATTAATGATGTTCTTTTTGAAGGAAATATGAATGTTGCAAATGCCCTAAATAAACATTTTACAGAAATTTCAAAACTAATTAAGAAATCTAATTTTAATGTTAAATTTTTTTTGTATTTAAAAGATTTTCTAGATCATAAACTTAGAATAAGCAATTTGACATTGATTTCATAACCACATTTGAAGTAAGCAAATATATTGACAACCTTGATAAAAATAAATCTTCTGACATTGATGGAATTGGTCCTAATATGTTAAAACTATGTAAAGACTCTATAACGAGAGCAATAACTTCAATTATTAATAAGAGTATTTCACTAGGTATATTCCCAGATAAACTGAAACTAGCACGTGTTATACCTTTACACAAAGGGGGAGATAAGTCAAACCCCAATAATTATAGGCCAATATCTATTCTCCCAACCATTTCAAAAATACTTGAAAGGCATGTTGCAAATCAGCTAAATAATTATCTTCATTATACCAATATCATTAATGAACACCAGTCAGGTTTCCGGAGACATCATTCTTGCCAAACGGCTTTGATCCGCCTTATAGATGCTTGGCTTACGAATATTGATGATGGAAATATAATAGGCGCTGTATTTTTAGATTTTAAAAAAGCCTTTGATTTAGTTGACCATAATATACTGATTCATAAATTAAAACATTATCATTTTTCTGAAAACTGTACAATTTTTCCAGTCATATCTCTCTAACAGAGAGCCAATTGTAAAAGTCAACAATGATAAATCTGAAAGCTTACCGGTTATAAAAGGCGTACCACAGGGCTCAATCTTAGGTCCTATACTGTTTCTTTTATATGTAAATGATATATCAGTCACTACGAATTCAGACATTGATATGTATGCAGACGATTCAACATTACACATAGCTGACCAAAGTTTGAGTAATATACAGTCTGAGTTGCAACTAGACTTACTAAAAATACAGGAATGGTGCACTCTCAATAATATGGCCATAAATCCAGAAAAGACCACGTGCATGATAATTGGATCAAAATGTAAAATAAATAACATAGGCAATCTTTCTCTGCATATTGAGAATTCGAGTATAAATAATGTTCATTGTCAAAAGCTACTTGGATTGCATATTGATAACTGTCTATCTTGGAAAACACATATTGACAAAACATGTTCTAAGCTTGCTTCTAAAATATCTCTGAAGAAAAGAATTCAAATATTTCTTACACCTGAAATGAAACAATTATTTTATAACGCTTACATTGCCCCTACTTTTGATTATGGATGTATTATTTGGTCCCAATGTAACAAATCAGATCTAAATAGAATAACAAAATTACAAAAAAGAACCGCCAGAATTATTTTAAATAAACCAGTAAAAACAAATTCTCTTGATATGTTTCAAAATATGAAATGGTTATCTTTTCCATCTAGATGTAAATACTTTTCTGGAATTATGGTATATAAAGCGATGAATGAATTAACGCCAGCATATATTTCTAATCTAATTCCGTTATCTCAAAATAAAACTTACTTACTAAGATCAACACATAAAAAAGATATTATGCATAAACGACCTAAAACAAATTATTTGAAACGTACTTTTTATTATTCTAGTATGGAGTTATGGAACACTATTCCTTTAAAAAAATAAGAAATCTTTCAAGTCTTAAATTGTTTCAATCACATTTCAAACATTTATTATTGTCTAGAGATGAATTATAGAAAATTTACCTATCCTATAATATAATATTATGTCTGTCTTCTTTGTTGATTAAGATTTACTGAATGTTGTAATCTTTACAATTGCTTGAATATGTCCGTTGTTATGTTTATGTTTTATTGAAGGCCTTGTTGAAAATAAGATTTTGCATTATATGTGTTGTATCTAATGCTTTGATGTATTGTCTTAATAAGTTATATCTTCGTTAAATAAAGAGTTTGTTATTATTATTATTATTATTATTATTATTATTATTATTATTATTATTATTATTATTATTATTATTATACAGTAGTATTTTATTTAATAATTTAATTAAGGAGACAAAGACACTCCAATACTTTAGTAGGACTTGAAATACGTGTCTAGATACGATATAGCTCTATATTGAAACACATTTTCTTTATTAACATATTATGTAATTATATTGCAACAAGTTCACCATTCAAGTTTTATAGTTCTTTGAAACGGCAGACTCACTTAAAATGTTATCATATCATAAATTATTGCAAATATTCTAACAGATTTTGTTTGTTTGTCGTTTTTTTGTGGAGTTAAGATTTCTGTGTAATCTCCTTTGACTGTATGGATCTATTAGTAATATGTTTAATGCTTAATAAATTTTGTCATATTGTTCGCCGTAAATGTTTAGAATTATATCTTTTAATTCTTTAAAATACTAACCGGTGTCTGCCTAAATGCTCAAGATCTTTATATAAAAAAGCATGCGCATCATATAAATATTTCACACTACATGTACTTTCTTATTCAGGTTTACTCGTGCATATATCTATCACGTGACAACGGTAATCAAATCTTGTAATACAGATTTGGATAATACTGATTTGGCGTGCTGCATCAAATAAGGTACATGCACACCTCTTGATAAACTACAGATTGTGCCTTTCATATTTATTATTTGAAGGACATATTTATTATAGCACATGAAGGAAACCACCATCCACTATTTAGTTCGTTTTAAATGGCTTTGGTGTTCATATCTGAAAAGTAATTAAAGATGTCTTCATCTGCCCTTGTATGTGTATTTGAGTTTATTTATACTCGCCACCGGTTGCCCATATGGGCGAGTCCTCCAGAAGAGTGTTAGTCATTTTATATTTTGGAGGATAGTGTAAGATACAGATACAGAAAGATGCCCAAATTCCAGAAGCTTCTCCTGGTTCTTCCAAGTGCCAAGTGTTTAAGCACTCATACACGGGACCTCGATTAAACGTCTCATCCGAAAGACTGATTAGTAATTTTAGTTGACCAGCCCGGGAATCGAACCCACAATGTGAGATTACAAGTCTCGCGCTCTAACCGATTGAGCTATGCGGACTGGCGTACACGCGTACGTTAAATACCTTTCGCATTACCTCGTAATACCATCACGTGCGCAGGTACATACAATTGTTGTCACATAATTCTCGCGTGGCCACGTAATACCTATCATGTACGAACGTAGTGAATAAAAGATTTTCTATGACCCCTTTGTGCCACCGTAGTTTTTGCTTTACAACCAATACTTTCCGTACAAGATATTCAAAGATTAACACTTAACTTATTGAATTTTATTAATTTCCATAATTCATTTTTTTCTTGAAAGCGAACAAAAATACATATTTTGCCATGAATTGGCGTTCGTAGAATATCTTGCAGAGCATTTGTGCTGCCAGTCCAAAATCACACCTGGAGTGAAAAAAGTAGAATGAATCTATTAATACTAGCTGGTAGTCATGCAAATAAGTAATAATGAGAAGAAATTTTGAAAAATATCGCAAGCCTATGGTCGGACTGTATTATTGGATAGTGTCCTTATGAACTTACATACTATTATCAATTATTTAGAAAAACTTGAACAAAAACATTTGATCATCAATACGATGTACATGCATTGCCACAGATAATAATCGTTGTAGCAAAATGAAGAAAATAATAAATATCAATTAAAGATTATGACACGTAGATTTATTGTATTCCACGCAAGAGGAATATAGCAAGAATGTTCCTTTTAAAATATTAACTGTCCGATACAAAGCTTTCAGGACACGTCAATCTACGAGCACTCATGCACAGTCTTTTCACAACAAGAAAAATCCAACAGTTATACATGTAGCTATTATGCGTTAGGAAGGTAACAAACGTTTCTTGGCAAATTAAACTTAAACATGTTTTGTTGCCGTGCTTCAGATGTGCTGATGAAAAAAAACGATGTATTGATAAATGTAAGTAATTTACCTTTAGATTGAGTTAATAATAATCTTCACGGTAACCATAGCTGTCGCCCTCACTTGAATGACTTGAATGGCTTGAATGTTTCTGTTCTTTGTTGACAATAACAATTTTTTTACCACTCTGAGGCTTGATAAATATACTGATTATGATGAGCAAGAACACTGTAAATACATATCATACAATTATATTAAATTAATAGGTTTCCATTATCAAATGCTGGCAGCAATAGCTGTATCAGATCCAAATGAATATTTATGCGGAAATAGTCTAAGGCAAACAAAAACAGCAAGTTACACAAAACCTTTAACTTAATTCATAAAGGAGAGATATTATAATTCATGTTTGACGCAATTGTGAATTTAATTTTTTTGTTTTAGTTTAATAATATTTTATTGCTCTTTGAATACAATTTATAACATTATTTCCACAAAGCAACATTTTTTAACAAAGGGCAAAAGGGTTGAACAACAAGTTCTAGCAACATTAGTAACTGTCCTTCCCTTAAGCATTATAAGATATAGAAACGAAAACATGTTTAAACACTATACACATGAGCAATTACAAATATTAAGGCGGAAACAAAAACAAAGTAGCGAATAGAATTCGACATCAAATTTAAGAGAAAAAAAAACAACAACAAAAAAAACATTTGCTTATCAATTTTTTAAATAAAAAAAATAATAGTAATTTTCCTGCACTTGCAGTATGTGATGGTTTGTATGGCTGTCAAAATATGTCATTTATAAGGGGAATTAGAAGAATTAATATTGGAACAACGATTGTTATTTTTACATGTATTTATTTCTTATTATTTAAATCTATGTGTATTTTTTATATATTTTTGAACCTCATGAAATAAAAAAGAGTTTTCATCGACTGATAAATTTTCTTTTCCATAAAGGAGAGTACTTGTACTTAATGGATGAAAAGGGCGAGTGGAAGTGAAAAGTTGGAGTCTTTGAACACCAAAAAGTTTACAGTTAAAAAAGAAATGTTCAGCATCCTCCTCGATATGGCAAAACTCACAAACAGGGGAGTTTGCTAAGTGATTTCTATACAGATCATCATTCAAATTACTACATCTATTTCTTAAACGTGCATGGTAAACAGATGTTAACCTTTCTCCAATTAAATAATATTAAGGGACAAGTGTGGGTTTGAATTTATCCTTGAGTTTAGTTTTGAACACATTTAAAGAAGTCGAGTCACGTATCTCATTATCAAGACTATTCCATGCCGAAATTGCTGAGGGTATAAATGATCTAGAAAATATTTCTGTTCGTCGTGCTATTGTTACGTAATTATCGTTATTTCTAAGGTTATATTGGCTGCTTTCTGATACAAAATTTGGGAACAAAGTGTCCAGATAACTTGGAAGCTCCCCATTTTTAGCTTTATACATTATTGATAATTTTTGCATTAAACGACGATCTGCTAAAGAGACCCAACCTATTTCATGCAGAAGTCTTTCTATAGACACTGAGCGAGTCAAACCAGTTACTAAGCGCGCAGCTTCGTATTGCATTTTTTCATTTTTTTCTTTTTCATATAAGGTACAACTATCCCAAATAACACTAGCATATTCTAATAAAGGCCTCATATAGGAAATATAAATTTGATTTAATGTTGTTCTATTGTGAATTTAACTTACTTACGTAAATATAATCACCAGTTTTCATTCGACATGAAGACAAACTTTATGAACCACCGAAATGTGTTGCGCTTTAAAAAGATGCATTGGTTTCAGGAAGTACATAATTAATTACATATGAAGAGCAAACATCCATATGTGGTGCGCTTTTTAGAAATTTTCGATATCGAGTTGTTTTTGTTTAATTTCAGTTTTTTAAGGAATAGAAAGAAATGCTTTCTGCTTTCTAGCTATCTACTAGTAAAAATTTCCCACATGGACGCATCAGCGATACGTTCATACAACTATGAACTTACCATCAAAGAAGACTAGCTGCATTAAATGAAAATTCATGACTGAATTACTATTGGGGGTATATTGACGGGCGGAAGTTGAATAACATTCCGATTTTTGCAGATATAACCAATTTTCAGGAAGAAAAAAAAACGTTCCGTATATACGGATGCTGAAAGATATACTATGCTCAAATTTGATATTTGAAAATATTGATAATTGAAACAAAGTAAAGTAACTCACGGCCTCTTTGTAAATATTAAATAAACAAATTTTGACTTCACTTAAATTAGATATATTATATCCTACACACTTTAAGTGGTCACAAAATGAATACGAGTATATAATGGCAGTTTTTTTTCTTGTAAGAAAGGACCTGCTTTACAGGAACGCAGATTTCAATACATAGTTTGTACGTTCTTTAATTTAAATAAGACATATTCAGTGTAATTTTAAAGATTTCAATAAATTTTTGCAATAACAATATTTTACTAAAAAAATAGCATAGTATATCTTAAATTCGCCTGCAAAAATCCATGGAAGCACAGGCAAGTCATGTTAGTTAGTCATTTCAAGTACAGATATTACATGTACATTGTATATAGAACCAGATATTACATGTATATAGAATAGAACAGAACTTTTTTTGTTTGTACGTAGTACATCATCATATAAAAAAAATTCAAGTGACATGTACGTTTCAGTGTCATCAGTATAAACAAATTTACTAATAGAGATAAGAAATCAATGATTGTTATGAAACTTGTTGCGAAGTTAATTGTTATATATATTAAAGTGAGGAGGAATACAGCTAAGACCACAACTCAATTTTGTTCTATCATTAAACATTATTAAATACTATTATAAGAACTGTTTTACTGATCTTATACAATGCCGAAGTAAGAAAAAAATGTTTTATTTCATAAATTTTGAAAAATTATCGTAATCTACTTTTTTTTTTTAAAAAAGTGAAAAAATATAACGTAAAGACAGCAGCTGTCTTACCCCAAATAATGATGTTGATATTGTAGAAATGTTTATGGATGTGCACCTCGGACCCTTTCCCCTTTTTGTAAGGCTGCGGCATATACGTTTTCTTGTCCATGTAAGCGTTCGGGGCATAGGAGTTAGTACCATACATATTTCCAGAAGGATTATAGTAAGGTACAAAGGATGTTACTAGCACCAGAACGCTACAGAATGTGAGCACGTTCAAAATAAGAAGCCTCATTATTCTGCCTGAAAGAAATTTTTTTAAAAAGCCGTATTACCGCGAAAATGCGCATGAAATATGAAATTTATAATAGACAATTTATTTTGTTGCATTATATATACATAAGAGCTATCATTGATATAGAAAAATAGGAGAATTCATTTTAAGATTTTAGTATCTATATTTTCTACCTTGAATGTAAAACAAAACTGCTAAATCTAATAAATTTTTCACTCTAGCGAAGGAAAAATATTCAAGAAAAATAATCATGAAATATATAGTTTGTCGATTCTATGTGGAATTCGTTAAGAAGTTTAACAAAATTTTTCTTAAAGTAAGCATTATTCGTTCAAGTACGGAATACAATAAACGATAGCCTCCCGACAGTTTCAATTTATGTATACGGAACAATTCCGAAACATACATGCTCGCTAATTTGCTGGTATTTAATAAATATTAATAGAATAATGATATGTAAATCACAGACTCTCAACTTACCAGTCTGCGAGACACAGGCAAGCCACTATTTATGCGTCAACTGTTTCTGCGTCAACTGTTTATGCGCTTATAACAACCTTCAAAACTTGGCCATATATACTTTACACTGAACTATGTGCTTAGCAATGTGAACGTATGTGGATTTGCGGTTAATACAAAAACCATAAATCTATAGCATTTTCCGTCAATTATGGTTTGTACTTACCAGTTTTAACGACGATGTCTGACCATGAGAGCTATTTCTGAGCACATTATGGCCCGCAGAATTTTGTCAGATATAGTTTAAGCGCCAACGGGGATTTGTGTGTTCGAACATTTCAAAGAAACACTAAATGTATATGATTATTAACATCACTATATGGTAAAAAGTCGTACCACAGTCGATTTTCACTTAAATGATCAAAGCACCATAATGTCACTCAATTTGAAAAAGTAAATTATACATACTTTTTCGCAACTATGATAGTTGCGTGCATCTCTTAAATGCATAATGTAGGTTTCAAGTTAATATCTGTACTGGTTTTAAGGATATTCAAGTAAAGGTAATTTTCAAGGCATATTCTGAATTAATGAAAGGGCATTACTTTGTCAAAATGCAAAGAAGTGTTGTGAAAATTTGGCCTGCGTATAGGTGCTTGTTGGGGAACTTTAGTATAATTGTGAAAAGTAAACCTTTTCAGAATGCAAGAAAGAGATGTGACCCTTTGCATTTACTTAATGTTTCAAATTAATACATCAGGACATTTTAAAGGAAAACATGAGGTATAATTTAATGTATAAATATGCCAAATGCAAATAAAAGTTTCAAAACTTGGCATGCTGGGCTTACATAAGATCCTTCATATTCAAGTTTCAAGTGATTATTTATATCGTTTTCAGAGAAAGTAAATTTCATAACATTATCTAAGTAAAAAAAGAAGGCATAACTTTGTCAAAATGCAACGAAGAGCTGTAACCTTTGGTCCACTAAGCATATACTTGTGATCCTCCTTAAACATTTAAAGCTTCCTTTTATTGTTTACTTTGGTTCCAAGCCACAACGACAGTTAACGTCATGTGACGACTTCACAACATGATTGGAGTCTCGTGTACATTATTACAAGCACGAGCGAGTACTAGTATTGAGAAATAAAGACTGAGCCGCGCCACGACAAAACCAACATAATAGGTTTGCGACCAGCATGGATCAAGACCAGCCTGTGCATCCGCGCAGTCTGATCAGGATCCATGCTGTTCGCTATCAGTTTCTCTACTTGTAAAAGAGTTGGTAAGCGAACAGCATGGATCCTGATCAGACTGCGCGGATGCACATGCTGGTCTGGATCCATGCTGGTCGCAAACCTATAATGTTGGTTTTGTCGTGGCGTGGCTCAAGTTTGTTTTTATTTTAATGATTATCAAGTTAAAAAAGCAATTATAACCAATTCTAAAGTGTCTTCACAGGTACATCTTTTGTACCTCTGGTCTCTAAAAAAAACCCTCATAAATACAAGAAGTATATTTTACTTTTATATCATTTATTTACTTAATTACAGTAGACCTTTAAATGATAAAATAAAGTATAGCAACAAATCCTTGCATTTACTTACTTTTTGTTTACATGATTACACATGTATATTTATAGCTTACATGTAGATTAGGTCAAGACCATTTCCCATGGTATCCATACTACATATGTATCGTGTTCGAGGGGAAAGGGCCGTAACATTACTATTGTACTAGCAAATGTAGATATGCTTGACTCCAGAGCACTGAAGTGACAAACATCTATTTGTGTAGTTTTGCGGTTTTCTAGTCACTAAGTTACGTTTTTTCTGGCCTTAAGAAATAAGTTTTAGAATGTTTTGTATTAAAGTTTTATCCGACCATACGAATTAATTTAGACTTCCGGTAAATTTAAGGGCTATTTCAAAGCCAATTCTTTGGTCCAGAAAAAAGTTCCAACAAAAGAGTAAACTGGGCAAATAATAAGTCTGTGATTTACGTCATTACTGCAATGATATGTCTGCATCAATAGTTAATGGATTCATTAAATTCTTCAAACTCAAACAAAACTGTTTGTTTCGGTTTTAGAGTCTGTATTCATTAAATTCATCAAGTCAAACATGTTTATTGCATGGATTACCATTTTTGTATACAATAAGTTAAAGTTCTACAGTTTGTATTCATTTAGTTTTAAACAAATGAGCCGCGTCATGACAAAACCAACATAGTGCGTTTGCGACCAGCATGGATCCAGACCAGACAGGATCCATGCTGTTCGCTATCAGTTTCTCTACTTGTAAAAGAGTTGGTAAGCGAACAGCATGGATCCTGATCAGACTGCGCGGATGTGCAGGCTGGTCTGGATCCATACTGGTCGCAAACACACTATGTTGGTTTTGTCGTGACGCGGCTTAAAAAATAAGGTTTTTAGAAACGCTAGAAGGGTTGCTAATAGCAAGCTCATGCACTATTTAAACATTTTTCTAAGAACAAAAAGGATGTCTGCCTTTCCTAAAAACCTAACGTTTAAGCATCCCTGTTTTGGATTTTGAATAAAGTATAAATTATAGAGCTAATTTTTTTGCACATGTTCATGGGAAAGGGACTTTAACACCATTTCTAACAAAGGATAACTAATAACTGACAAAAACTAATTTCAAATGTTTTTATATTTTATTTAACTGTTCTGCTATTAAATAAGCAAAACAAAACAAAACTACATGTACTTGAGAATTCTAGACACATATAAAAAGTCACACTTTACAAGCTATATCCCTAATGATCAAATCATTAAATGATTTAATCTTATGAATTTACATAAGGAACTATACATTATGATAAGACATGCAAAGGCACTTGAATAAAGTTCAAGCCTAAAGCCATGGGAAAGGTCAAAGTTTCATCCAACAACAAATCTAATCTACACTTTACAACTAAATGTATATTAGCTGAATATGTGTAATGGCTTTCCCCAGCTTTGAATTTAGAACAGTAAATTCAAAGTTTAACCCTTACCCTGCTGAAAAATTGAATAAGCCTTTGCCACCGGTATAGAGCCAGGCCAGATAGATATTTATCTATCAACAGTAATTAAAGAGCCTTAAGATTTTAAGGTAGGTCTGACCCTAAGCTAACAAGTGGCATTTTAAGACAAATCACTTTCAGGTCCCGCAGATTACAAGGGCTAAATATAATTGTTAATTAAAGTGATAAAAACAAATGAATTACAAACAAGTAGATATTATACTATTAAGTAATTAAGAAACCTCTCATAAATAAATAAATATATAATAAAATTTCTTTGGTAACAAAATAATGCAGTTTATACCATATTCTATACTCACAGAACAATGATTAGTAAGTGTACTATTGACTACAGTGAACAAAAATTTTGCAAGTTCCTATATGTCTGTAACTTTGAGTGTAACAGGTCATGTATACTGTATTAACAATACTATGGTACATATAAACAACAGAAATACCTAATTACTGTCGGTAGATACATGAATATATTTAAAAAACAAGATTGCATTTGAGAAAAATGCTATGCCACCGCATTAATCCTTGTACCTTCAGACAATAAGATTTTTTGATTTTTTTACTATATGTTTATATTGAAAATCAATGACCCCCGGGGCAAAGGCAATTTTGACCCCATTGCTATAATTTAAACAATCTTGCTAGAAGTTCATTTCATAATGTTTCATGCAAAATATCTAACCTCTAGCATTTGTCAATTACTAGAAGAAATTTTTTTAAAGTTTTTACTACAAGTCATGTTTAAGTTTTTTTTCCTATATACATATAAGGAAAACCAATGACCCCCGGGGCGGGGCCGATTCTGATCCCAGGGCTATAATTTGAATAATCTTGGTAGAGGTCTACCAGACAATGCCTTATGCAAAATATCTAAGCTCTAGGCCTTTTGGGTCTTTACAAGAAGGTATTTTAAGTTTTTACTATATGTACATATAGTGAAAATCAATGACCCCCGGGGCGGGGCCGATTTTGACCCCAGGGCTATAATTTGAACAATCATGGTAATGGTCTACCAGACAATGCCTTATGCAAAATATCTAAGCTCTAGGCCTTTTGGGTCTTTACAAGAAGGTATTTTAAGGTTTTGCTATATGTACATATAGTGAAAATCAATGACCCCCGGGGCGGGGCCGATTTTGACCCCAGGGCTATAATTTGAACAATCTTGGTAGAGGTCTACCAGACAATGCCTTATGCAAAATATCTAAGCTCTAGGCCTTTTGGTTCTTTACAAGAAGATTTTTTAAATTTATTCTTATAATTCCTTTTGGTTGCCATGGCAACCAGATTTCTGCATGGAATGAAATTCTTTCAACAACTTTGGAAGCCCTTCACCCAAGGATCAATCCTGCCAAGTTTGGTTGAAATTGGACTAGTGGTTTTTCACAAGAAGATTTTTTAAGTTCACTATATAATCTATATAACACACACACACAAACAAACACACACACAGGTGAATCGCTATATGCCACCGCATCGCAGATGCTGCGGTGGCATAAAAATGAGATTCAGATCTTATGAAAATCATGGAAGATCTAATCAGCTTCACAAATGAAGCAGTATTTAATGACAGCTATTTTTAAGCTCAAAATAATTTCTTTAAAACAGAAATTACAATATGTAAAGAAATGACAAGGTATCAATTATGAACATGAAATAGGCAAGATATAGAGGATATTTAATGAGTGTGGATCTCGTATTGAATTCATACAACAAGCTGAATAAATCTGATACAGATTCTATAGAAATTTACTATTATTTTTCAAATTTCAAATTCTTTATTTCTCTCAGTGCATCATACATGATACAAACATAAGGTATATAACAATTAACATTTGTAAAAACGGCAATACATACATGGCAAGTCATTTACAGAGAACAATCACAATACATAAAAAGATTAACCATCTATTGTTTATTTATTTTTTCTTCTTTCGTTCAGTAGGAAGTAAATTATTAAGTGTATTTAGTGTAATGATTCTGCAGCATAATTAATATGTATAAACAGCTGATTTGACCACGTGTTGAAAATAACATAAAATGATGTCTATTTCACATAATCATCTTTTGACACCTGTCATGCATAAT